AACAATCCTGCAACTCCAGATCATCAATTTACACTGAACGATGTATACAGTCGTTCTGGGCCCATCTGTCTAATCTACTGAAATAACAGGGATGGCGTCCCCTGTTTCCAGCCCCTGCTCCTTCTGTGGTCTACCCACTGGGAGGAAGCGCTAAGGGGGAAGCTAGGAGAAGTTTAAAAAAGACAGCAAAGTCTAGAGAAAGAACCGATAAAAAGTGAAAAATTCTCATCTGCCCAATGATTGCTTCTTTTCCTACTACAACTTTTGCCAAAATTGTGTCTGTTTCTTAGTGGAGGAGGGTGGGACCTGAGAGGTGAGCTGGGGAACAAGGATCCCTCACATGGACCATCAGGCTGGAGGAGGAGGACCGTCAGGCCGAAGGAGGAGGTGGGCACCATGCTTACCTGGAGAAAAGAGAAGCGAGTGTAAGCCACTATGGAAGTGAAAGGAATAAGCTAGAACCTTCCTTTTGGCATGACCTCCTGGATAGCTGGGAACACTGTTCCTGCTCATGTTTGGGGTGTGCTCCCTAGACACACACACACACACACACACACACACACACACACACACACCTGGCTCTTGGGCAAGCTGTGAATTGGCAAGTCCTGGTCAGATGCAGTGTGACTGCAGCCTCTCGAGGGGCTCAGACTCTTGTTTTCAGGGATGTGCTGAGCCAGGTGCACGTGATGCCTGCCAGGCAAGGTGGGAGGAATGGGGGCTGCTGGGTCAGCAGCAATGCTGACTGCCACCTCCCTCACACTGGGTCTCAGCCCCTGGCTAGAGCCTTCCTTTGGTGGAGAATCAGCCTGCTCTGTGCCCCCCACGGGCTTCAAGGCACAGACCACACTGGGGCACAGACCACACTCAAGGGCACAGACCACACTGGGGCAACGTGCGCCCAGCTCTTAGCACAACGCCTGGCTGTAGCAGTTCAGGAGCCGCAGTGGCTGAGAACGTCAGCCCTGGAGCAGTTCAACCTGGCTCCACCCTCTTTCGAGTCCCCACGGCCCTCGGAGCATGACTTTCCCATCACAAAAGGGGGACCGATGGTTCTCAGTTCCCAGGGCAATTCTGAACACTCAGCAAACTCTCCATATAGGGAGCCCTGACCTGCCGGAACAGAAACCCTTCATGCGCTTTAACCATCACTCTTTAGTCCAGCGAGGCTTTGGTGAAGATGGCAGAAGGATGAATGAAAGACTAGTGAGATGCACCAAGAGCTGGGGACCCTTGGGGAGGGGAGGGTGGAGGCCGGTTTCTCTGGTGGACTCAGCCTCCTTTCACTCCTTCATTCCTCACTGAAATTCCTTTGCCACAAAATGCCCCTCCCACCTGAGGGAGCCAGAGGCTTCACCCTCGAGCTAAGCTGTACACACTCCTCCATCGCCTTCCTAGGTCTTTCCCACAAGCCAAGGTTCCCCACCCTTTCTGTTCTCATCTCCAAATACATGCACAAAAGCACATACATCGCTTCCAGGCAACTAAGGAAAAAAGAATGGTATCTGCTCATAGAGTAGCTAGTGAAGATGGTGCGCACAACCAAACCTCCCGCGGGTGTCTCCTGGTTAAGAAGAGGGTATACACCGAACGTGGGTAAACACCGAAGGGCAACGGTGCCTCATTCCAATGGAACGCAGAGAAGAAACTGAATTCACATACAGCCACCATCAACTCCAGCACCACCACCTTGCACTCAAGAGAGGCTGCCCGGCCACCACCAGGCAGAGGTCAGAGCCAGGAGAATGTGCCTGGGCTGCTGGAGAACTGGAGTGCAGATGGCACCCCTGGGAGGGAGGGACACACAGATGGCCCAGAAGCAGCAAGCTGCTCGGCCAGAGGGCAACGGACGCATGCTCACTCGCTGGGGCTACCTTATGGCAACAGCTCTACCTGCCACTTTGGTACCTGATACTCTATTTCTTATTGGGAGAAAATGACATACATGCAAAGAAGGCTGAGAAATAATCTCGAAGATGAGACACACAGAAGCCACAGGAAAAAAGGGATTAAGTAATGGAGTGAGAAGCTTGGTCACATTCCTGATAAGGATGGAAGGTATCTGGACAGACAGCCACGCCCGCACTGATGGACACAGAGCCATAACAGGAGAGATTTCCTTACTGACAGAACTGTTTTCCAAAGCAGGCCGCAGAGGCCACCAGTGGCGAGGGTGCTGGGGGTACTTTCCCGGGCCACTGCCTTGTGAACTGCTGGAGGCTTCTTTCCGTGAGTTCTCCCACTACACAAGGCTCAGGCTCCCACATCCAAGGCTTGGCAAGCCCTTGCTTAGGGAAGAGGGACCCGGACCATGAAGATGGCGTATAGGTGAAGACACGAGGAATCGGGGCATTTTAGAGTGCAGTGCCTCTGGCCTAGATTCCAGGACATTCTGATGAGCCCCCAGAGCTGAATGCACTCCCCACCCCATCCCACTCTCCCCATGCTGTGAGCCGGGCGGTCTTCTGGCTCAGGGTCTGGCGTGGCCAAGGGCTCACCCTGTCCAATGCCCCCAAGACGGTGGCTCCCCCAGGTGGACTTCAGCTTCAGTAGTCGTTGAGCTCCAAAACCCCCGCCTCCATCTTGGACAAGGAAAGGACCCAGTGGAGGGTGATGTCCTGGAGCCCATAATGATTGTTTGCAGCATTTGGATCGGCAGACAGGACTGGATATGGAAAGGAGCAAATACCCTAGAAAGGCATCATGTAAGTCAGGGATAAAATCCCCCATCCCTATGAAGCATCGAGACAGCCAGTGCCCACAGCAGTCAGGACGCAGCCTCCTGTATCAGACAAACCTGGGCCTGCTTACCTGGGTGAGCCATTGCACTTTTCCACCTGGGCGTGGTGACAGTCCATGCCTAATCCACAGGGATCCCTGTGAGGAGTAAGGCTTTGGGGCAGAGGGGCCACCCCAAGCCACCTGGAAGGATGCCTGCCTGTTAGCCACCGCTGTCACACCCTTCAAACACAGCACCCAGGATCAGTGTAGTCAGCCAGGTGGGTGCAGGAGATAGATCAGGGAGGTAAGTACCACACCCAAGGTTGCCTTTCTCCCCCATCAGTATGTCACTGACTTGTTCTCGCCCCCATCCCCGGTCAGTGGGGAAATGTTTTTTGCCGCGAATGCAGACTGTAGGAGAATATGTGGGGCTTGCGGAGTTGCAAGCCCCCAAGGCCCTCCCAGGTCTGCCCAGCTTCCTCCCAGCCAGATGCTTGGTGACACCCCTCACTGTTGGAGGCTGAGCCTGGGTCCTGGGGGAGGAAGGTGACACACAGACCACATGGGAAGGATTGAGAACCTTCCAGGGTCTGTCCTGGGGGTCTGCGATCTTGCCTCTTGCCTGCTGCAGAATTAACTCAATTTTGGTGGCCAGGCCTCATCTGATGTAGTCGGTAAACTGAATGCCTTTGCTCAGAATGACCCAGACACCAAGGCTTTTCCATATGACTCGCCTGAGTTTTGAAAGATGACCCTAGTATGATGTCCCACGGACCACAGGCAGGCGTTGCTCAAAATCGAGGCTCTTTAGGGAGCAGAGCGTGGGCAAAGGCAATGCAAGTTGAATATGAAACCTGATCAAGAAGGCACCAAACAGAAACCAACATTCACTCACTTAAGTTAAATTCGCCCAAGAATGACCTCACCTGACTCTAAACCCAACTGCCGTAACGGGAACGTCTCGTAAACCCTGTGACGCTCACTCAGCGCAGGTTCAATTTCCTGTGAGCTGCAGGGAAATGCAGATTCTCTTTGGAAAAGCTTGGAAGTTTTTTGTGGGTGTTTTGTCTTGCATAAGGCTGAGAAGCTCACTACTCCATCTTTCTCTCCCAGACCCTGTAGCAAAGACATCCCACAGGGGATGGCCTGGCATCGTGGCTGGATCTGAGTTGAAAGGGGTCTCGCTAGCCAGGATGTGCAGTGGTGCTTGCCAGCCTCATACGCTCTGTCAGGGCCATGCTGGCTCCCTTTGTCATAAGACCGCTTACCATGCTCTTTCCTGATCCCCAGGGATGGCCAGCTACTGAATAAGCCAAGCAAGGGTCAACCTGAGGGCTGCTGCACCCAGGGAGACACTGGAACCAGATGCATTTCAACGAGTCACTCCAAAAACCGCATCACTCAGGCAAGGTTCAGGTCCCTGGACATTCTCTCAATCTGTCCTACATGCCATTTTGTCCTCCTGGATGGAGAAGGACAACTCCATTCCTCAATCAACTCTATTCCTCCAGAGAGGAGGAGTGGCTCAGCTGTTTTTTCCCATCATGTATCAGACAGCGGGTGGCTGCCATTTTAGAAACAGCGCTAAAATGGTGCAATTATTCTGTAATTACTTGGGAATGCAACGCCACCCACTGCCTATCAGGGCAGCATCTCTTCCTGCTCATTTGGAACGACACATGACATAAACTAGAAGAGGAAAACCCACCAGGCTGGAAGACAGGCCTGCTAGTGTCCTCAATGAAACAGGCACCTCAAAGACAAAGGCACTCATACAACTGCAGCATCAACACATATTTCTATTAGCCGAAGTGCAACAAAGTTTCTTCCATCAACTGCCCAGTGGTTTGAGACACCAAGAATAGTTAGTATCATATACACCAGATTACATAACACAGAAGTCAAGTCTTAAAAAGAGTAGCCAGTATTTTTGTTCCTTGACCTTGTTTTTTTTTCCTGGTACAGGATCTGGCTCTGTCACTCAGGCCGGAGTGCAGCGGCACAGTCTCAGCTCACTGCAAACTCCACCTCCCAGGCTCAAGAGAGCCTCCCATTTCAGCCTCCCGAGTAGCTGGGACTATAGGCATGTGCCCCTAAGTCTGACTAATTCTTGTATTTGTTTGTAGAAATGGGGTTTCGCCGTGTTGCCAATGCTGTCTCAAACTCCTGGACTCAAGTGACCCACCTGCCTCAGCCTCCAAAAGTGCTGGGATTACAGGCGTGAGCCACCGTGCCCGGCCTGTTCCGTGGGCTAAGGGAATTCACGTATTAACAGAGAATCAACATCTAAATAGACCTTTATTTTTATTTTACTTGTTTGGACAGAAAAGAAACTTCATCGGCTTTCATTAGCGTCTCCTTAAGTGGTGGAAACACGTTAAACTCAGAAAGAGTGGACCTTGTAGAAAAGCATCACAAATTAAAAATATATTTCTCCATGTGGCAAAAGTGCTTTCACTCCAATTAGGGCACGGCAAGGGTGTTTGGAAACACGATCTAGAATTTGGCCTGCATCCGTGGCCTGCAATCCGTGGCATTGAATTCCAACCACAGGGCAGGGGAGTCACCGTGACATAGAGCACAGGAACGACGTGGGGCCTGGAGCATGCGGACAGCAATACTCGCGATAACTGAGTGAGGACAAGGACAGAGTCCCAAAGCCTGAGTAGAATAGATTCTGCGTTTGTAAAAAATGAGGTGGTTACATAAACTGGGTTGAAGGGGGACCGAGTCATCCCAGAAATTCCGTTTCTGGTCTGTGAGGACTGTCAGACCCGCCGACCACTCTGGTGCCGAGGCCTCCCTGGAGATGCATAAACCTGGGTTGCGAAAGAGCCCAGATCAGCCGGGGGGACCTGTGAGCTCACTGCCAGTGCTGGGCACGCAGCCTTTCCAGTCCTGTGGCGAGCAGCCACCTCCGGCCCTCATGGTGTCAAATCACATCTGACCAGGGTTGCCAACACGGTCCTGTGTTGGGGTTTTTCCAAGGCCGGCCCTACTGTTCTGAGGGGCCACTCTGAGAAGGCAAACGCTGCCAGGGTCACCCGCTACACACGGAGGAAAGACAATGAGCAAATGGCCGTCGTAGAGAAGTCAGCTGTGTGTTTCAGCAACAGACAAGTAATTCTGCCAGTGATGACATGTGCGATAAAGCTTAGGGCCCACGGGCTCCCTGTGGGCCTCGTGAGGAGCAACCACATCTGTTCTGGAAGCCAGTGGCCCTTCCCGGCCCTGCCACAGGCCAGAACAGAACTGTGATCATGCAAGGAACCGTGACTGGGGCCGGGGTCAGTGTGGGGGGTGGAAAGGAGGGAACGTCTGCCTTTTACATTAGATCTGAAGCAACAGTAAGAAAATAACCTGAAGATATTTTAAAAAATAAAAAATAGCATCACCTTTCACTGCAATTTTTTGGCATTTCCCTTTCGCCCCTGCCCACCAGCTCAGCAGAGGAAATGAGCAGGAATGCCTCATCTTTCAGAATGGGCACCCACTCCCCATCTCACTCCTGCACACCCAGGATGTATGTCTTCTAAGAGACTCATTCAAAGGTGCTCGCATGAGGAAAATGCTGGAAAACCCTCCGGCCTTCCCCCATACCCGAACCGTTGTAACCATGCAGGGTGTCTTTGCTTCCTTCAAGCCACGGACTTGAACCATGTCCAAGGTTACTGTAGATCTTCAGGAAGCAGGCATATCTCTTAGAGCATGCTCCAGCTCATCCTATCACAGGGGACAATCGCCAGTCCATGTGACCTCGCAAGCTCCACGGATGTCATGAGAGAATCTGCCCTTGAGAACACAGGTGCAGGTGCTCACCACACCGGGGGCACTCTTTTCCGAGGGAGGACATGCTTTTCTTGGAATGCAAACGAGGACAGCAACCGTCCTCTGACCCAGTCCGTCCTGTCCCTCCAGAGGCCCTGCACATCCCTCCCAGGCAGCAAGCCACGCAGCAGGGCGTCTCCGGGTCTCTGATGGGCAGATCTGAATGGCAGGCTCTCCTCCTCTCACCCCTCCCCTGACCAAGTCCTGCCCTCCCAGCATCAGTGGGTTGGAGAGGCATCCTCCAAGCCCAGCAGCTCTCTGACGAGTCTCTCCCCAAACTGCGCCCGGCTGTACCTCTTCACGTGGTAGGCATCTGACATTTTGTACAGGATGTAGGCATTGTTGATGGCGATGCTGATGGCAAACCAGAACACCTGCTGCCAGGTCTTGTTTGGTTTATGAGAGATGAAATACCTAAGGACACAGGGAGTAACAACAGATGACACGATGCTTCGTGGCACTCAGCAAATGCATCCCAAAGGCCTCCCTGGCCCATGAGATGCTGCAGGCTCAACCCCTGGCACATGAGATGCTACAGGCTCACCCCCTGGCCCATGAGATGATGTGGGCTCACCCCCTGGCCCATGAGATGCTGTGGGCTCACCCCCTGGCCCATGAGATGCTGCAGGCTCACCCCCCGACAAGAGGCAGGAGGGCTGCGGGGGCAGGAGCCAGGCTTGGGATGTTAGGTGAGCTCTAGCTGGGGGCTTTGTCACAGTGAACTTCATTTAAGACCAAGGAAGTAAAAACATCAGGATTGCTGGAGGAGACCCTGAATCCCAGGTGCCAGGTGTGCTGGGGTGGTGTGTAGCCCTAGAGTGACAGACGCCTCCAGCCCCTCCAGCTTCCCTGCTTGCTGAATGCCCCTCACAGGCTGTGTTGTGTATGTGCTGTGCAGCGGATGCTCCCCCAAGGCCAAGCTCTTCCTCAGCTCCAGGCCCCTGCAAGGGATTCCCCTGTTCCTGAGTGTATCTTTGCCATCCCTGCCGATGAAGGTACAGAGGTCGCCCCTCTGGGAAGCCCACCCAGACCCTGAGGACACTGGCCTTCTCGGAAGCACCAGCCTCAGGACTTACTGCACTGTCTTCTCCATTTCTGAGTTTGCCTCTGCACCCTGACTATAAAGCATGGGAGGATCCGTATCCTCGATATCTCAATACAACTGAAGTGCCCAGCACATAGCTGGCACCACAGACATCTACTCCGCAAATGCCAGCTGCTTTAGAACAACCTCATAGAATGCACCAAGGTGCTGGTGCATAGGTGCTCAGTGAACTAAGTGCCAGTGTCTTTGTAACAACCTCATGGAATTTAGCAGGGTGCCGAGCACACAGTAGGTGTTCAATAAAGACTTGTTCGATGGATCTCTAAGGAGTGGGGCTACATTTCACACAGGCTGAGTTTTCCAGAGAGAACCAGGTCCTTGTTTTTCCCTCTTCATCAGGAAAAGGCCAGGAAATGTAGGTTACCCTCAAAGAGGGTTCAGTCTCTATCCAATTTTGAGTTAGTCCAATCCTGTTCTAAGTGGTAAGGCTCAATTCCAGTGATTTAGTAGTCTCAGGTTCACCAGCAGTCATTTTGAGTTCCCATCACAGTGGTTATTACGGCACGAGACTGGGGTGGCATCGTGGGGTCTAGACGTCCACATCTCCTGGATCTTGTCTATGCTGTGTGTAAACTATGCATACTTTGTGTATATTTAACATGAGACCATACCTGGTGATGTAAACAGGCATCCATATTTGAGAAAATTAAGTCACCGGTGCTAGAACACATGTGACTCAGGGTAAAAGTGCCCATGCTAATGCCTAGTGTGTTAGGAGGGTGGGAGAGGAAGACAGCAATCCAGGACAGGGGAACGGGACAAGCGACGCTAAGGGCTGGGGTCTGAGCTTGCTGCCGAGGGACAGCTGGGTTCAGGTAAGCAAAGGGAAGGGCGCCTCGGGGCACAGGGAACGTGAACCCAGCATTGGGAGAGTGGGGGGCATAGAGTACCTGGGTAGAGGACTTCCAGGTATGGCCAGGTGTGCATGGGTGAGGCCCAAAGTCCAGGCTGAGGGCAGGATCTTACCTCCCAGGGTCTTCGTCCTGCAGTTCTTTTTCTTTTTCTTTTTTGAGATGGAGTTTCGCTCTTATTACCCAGGCTGGAGTGCAATAGCGCGATCTCGGCTCACTGCAACCTCCGCTTCCTGGGTTCAGGCGATTCTCCTGCCTCAGCCTCCTGAGCAGCTGGGATTACAGGCATGTACCACCATGCCCAGCTAATTTTTTGTATTTTTAGTAGAGACGGGGTTTCACCATGTTGACCAGGATGGTCTCGATCTCTTGACCTCATGATCCACCCGCCTTGGCCTCCCAAAGTGCTGGGATTACCGGCTTGAGCCACCGCTCCCAGCCCGTCCTGCAGTTCTTCACTGGGGAAACTAGTGATCATCTGCCAATACACCTATTCCATGATGGCTCAACTACCCGATCCCTTCTGTGGTGGAGGTGCCCGTCCACTTACTTGCTGTATTTGTCATCATATCTGCAGATGTAGCTCAGATGAGCGGCAAACGCCTCCACGGCCAAGGGGCATGGGATCTCCCCACTCTTCCTCTTGATGATGACTCCTGAAGATGAGAGACAAGATAAGGACACCTCCTCCAAATGCCAGTTTTTAAATGTGTCTATCTTCATTCAGCTTAGTTATCCTCAACTTAATAATGAGCAGAGGAGGAAGAAAAGGAAGAGGAGGGGAGGGGAGGGAGAGTGAATAAGTACAATTAGCACCAACCACCAGATGCTTCAGAGGAGTCGAGGAAAACATCAGAGTCAGGTGAGTGCGTTGGTAAGTCCCAGCCCAGACACAGTGCCCCAGGTCACAGGGGCTTCACAGGGGTGCAGGACCCTGGCAGGTCTGAAGGGACTCTAAGCAGCACAGAGCAGGGTGCTGCACCCAACTGGGCCTTGAAAAAGTGAAAACAGGGACAGGACTCACTCTTCCCTCCACCCACTTCTGCCAGACTGGCTGAGGGATGCTGGGAAGAGGTGGTGGCTGAGGTCAGGAAGCAACCTAGAGCCCTTTCCACCTATGTTCATCACAGCAAAAGCATGCTGGCAACTCCAGTCATCCACCCTGCATAGAGCACTGGATCTCACTCCTCCTATCTAGGCTGTGATCTTGTATCCTTTAACAAATCTCCCGGTACGTGTTTGAGATGATGGATATGCTAATTACCCTGATCTGATCACCATACATTGTATAGAAATATCACTATGTGCCCCATGAAAATGGGCAATTACTGTTTGTCAATTTAAAAAAGCAAAAGGAGGCCTCAGAGTGGACAGGCACCTACCAGCCCCTCCAGCTTCCCTGCTTGCTCTACGCCCCTCCCAAGGTGGCTGGGTGCAGTAGCTCACGCCTGTAATCCTAGCACTTTGGAAGGCCGAGGGCGGATCACCTGAGGTCAGAAATTGGAGACTAGCCTGGCCAATGTGGCAAAACTTCGTCTCTACTAAAAACACAAAAATTAGCTAGGCATGGAGGCAGGCGCCTGTAATTCCAGCTACTCAGAAGACTGAGGCAGAAGAATCACTTGAACCTGGAAGGCAGAGGTTGCAGTTTGCTGAGATCACTGCCATTGTGCTCCAGCCTGGAAACAGGAGCAAAACTCAAAAATAAAAATAAATAAATAAAATGTTTAAAAAATAAATAAATCAGCCGGGCACGATGGCTCAAGCCTGTAATCCCAGCACTTTGGGAGGCCGAGGTGGGTGGATCACGAGGTCAAGAGATCGAGACCATCCTGGTCAACATGGTGAAACCCTGTCTCTACTAAAAATACAAAAAAAATTAGCTGGGCACTGTGGCGCGTGCCTGTAATCCCAGCTACTCAGGAGGCTGAGGCAGAAGAATTGCCTGAACCCAGGAGGTGGAGGGTGCAGTGAGCCGAGATTGCGCCATTGCACTCCAGCCTGGGTAACAAGAGTGAAACTCCGTCTCAAAGTAAATAAATAAATAAATAAACCAAAAAAGTAAAAATAAAATCTCAAGATAAATTAAAAAATACAACATAAAAAAGCAAAGCATGGAATTATTACCCTTTTTTGGGGGGGTATGAGGTCTTGCTCTGTCACTCAGGCTGAAGTGTGTGGTATCATGATCACAGCTCACTGCAGCCTCAAACTCCTGAGCTCAAGCGATACTCCCACCTCAGCCACCTGAGTAGCTGGGACCACAGGTGCATGCCACCACGCCTGGCTAATTACAACAATTTTTTAAATAGAAACTCACCATGTTGCCTAGGTCTCCCCATGTTGCCTAGGCTACTCTCAAACTCCTGCCCTCAAGTGGTCCTCTGCCTGGGCCTCCCAAAACTCTGGGATTACAAGTGTGAGCCTCCACGCTCAGCCAAAAGGAATTAGGGGCTCAGAAGAAAGAGGAAGCTGCCCTTTTCAATCCTCCCATCCCCTAGGCTCCATCCTTTTGTGCCTCCTAGAACTTCAGGGGCCCTACACCCTCAAATACCTTTTCCTCTACTAAGTACAACTGGGAATGTATCCAGGGGCACCGCGAAGGTCATGGCAAGATTAAAAAATCTCACTAGCAGAGCCTGGGAAGCAAAGAGACCATGAGCCCTCCCGGCTCCACTGCCCAGCCCCCGCTGGCCATTCTGGCTTCCTCCCCGGCCTGTCTCATGTTCCACCCACCACAGACAACACCGAAGAGGGGTAGGACGCGTTCTTCCAAGTATCCACGGCCATTCAAGCATGGCTGGAGTCTACTTATGTTTCCTCAAACTGACCTTCCCTTACTGCAGCAAGGGATTTGGGCACAGTGCCATTTTTCTGTATTTTTTAAGGGATTAACTCACAGGATTGGGAAATTTCAATAATACTGAAATGGACAAGGTCAAAGTGAAACGGGCATGTCCTTTGCAGGCCCAAGGGAGCTTCGTCTGAGGCCAGCCACCTCCCACCTCCACAACTCTCAGTGAGGGACTGTGGCTGACACCAGGGTCGCCCAGATCTGCTTATATAGACTGAGCCAGGCTCTTTCCTTCTTTCCTCAGAAATAGTAGCATTTCACATGGAAGAAACACTGGACAGCTTGTGGGAAATTTAGCTGCCAAGGCCTGCCCTAGAGATGCAGGACCAGAGAGGGGCCCAGGCAACGCATTCCCTAAAGTTCTCCAAGGGCCAGAAAACCACGGTGTCCCCCCTGCCCTCCCCCCACATACATACTGGGGCCTTCCTCCTGGCCCGAAGACTGTGGGTGCCTTCACTTGCTTATGGAGCCCTCCTCCTGAGAGAAGTTCAGCTGTTGGGGGCCTGCAGGGCACAGGTGTTCTCCAGGGTGCAGCTCGCCAGGCCGAGGGAGGGTGTGTGGGCCTGTAGTGCCCCAAGGACCGCAGTCTCTCCAACGTCCCTCCTGAGGGTTCCTGTCCCTGGTCCTTTATCTCAGCCACCCCTGCCTCCAAGACTGAGTAGGAGGAGCCCTGTTTCACACTTGGGGTCCCAGCACATGGCCCATGGAGGCTTCCCATCTCCAGCTATGTTCTGATTTGCCTGACCTCCAATGAAAACCTTCCCTGGGTCTCAGGAGGCTCTGGCCCCTTTAGGGTTCCACCCAAATGTGAGCAGGTAAGACCATCCCTTTAAAGAAACAGAAATCCCGTCAGTTCTTCTCCTGGAACTTCAGGATGCCCACTCAGTCATTAGTGTCTCCAGTGAGTCAGGGCTGCTCTGTGAAGATCTCGGGGTTTCCCACAGCCCATCCCCAGAGCTACTGGCCGTTTCCAGCGTTTCAACAAGGGCAGAGGCTCCTGGACTGCCACTGTCCCAATCTACCTCGCCATGGGAGACCTTCTTTAACTCTTCATTTCTTTCCCAACCTTTTTCATAACTGTAAATTTGACATGGGGGTTTCAGCTTGAAATGGAGCTGTTTCCACACCAGACCTGCATCCTCCTCTCTTTGAACATTTCCCCAGTTTATAAACCAGATTACTCTCCTCTCCCCATGATATTTTGGATTCTGAGACTACCCCAGCTGAAAAAGGTAAGGCAGCCATCCTGTGACGTCTTCTGATTGCTAACGTTGGCAATATTAGCAAGAAGAAATCTGTAGTTACTGTCTTGGCTGCGTTAATCACTGAGAAAGCCGTGCATGTCATGTCCAGGCTCGTGGTGGACGCTGTATTGAGAGCTCTGTGGGAATCTGCACACGTCTATCTTCTCCACATCTGTCTCTGTGACGCCCAAGATCGACATGGGCCTGTCTTCCCATTCTAACAGCTGTTCTAACACCTTCCTTGGCTGCTAGTGGCTTCACGGACACTCCTGCTACCATTCTGCAAATGTAAGTGAATGAATCAAGACCTGATTCATTTTCATATGCAGATATTCTCCATTCTTATTAGTCTTAGTGAATCTGAATCCTAAATGGGCAGACTACAGGATGAATATGACAGACCCAAGGTGGGGTTCCAAGAAAAGCAAAAGGGTTTGGCTCACAATGGGAATATCCTTTGACATATGACAGCATTAAAATTTTTTTTTCTTGAGACAAAGTCTCGCTCTGTTGCTCAGACTGAAGTACAGTGTCATGATCTCGGCTCACTGAAGCCTCTACCTCCTACGCTCAAGCAATCCTCCTGCCTCAGTGGCCCTCAACCCCTCAGTAGCTGGGACTACTATAGCTACACCATGCTCAGCTAATTTTTTGGGGGGAGGCCATTTTTTGTAAAGATGGGGTTCTGCCACATTGCCAGACTGGACTCAAACTCCTGGAATCAAGTGATCCTCCACGTTGGCCTCCCAGAGTGCTGGGATTATAGGTGTGAGCCATTGCACCAGCCTGAGTTTACACTTCTGAAAAGCCTGTGCATATACTCACACTCTATGACAAAAAGTTTCATGTGTCCTTAGAATCTGGAGTAAAAATCAATAAATCAATTCCTAAAATGTTCATACTTCATTATGTATTTCCTAAAATTGGAAATGCTGCTCAGCTTCAAGGAAAGTATATATGGTCATAATAGAACAGAATGTAACAGAGCTGAGAAGCAGTCTTCAGAATTTACAGTGTTTCAGTTTATCATCTGAGATTTACACACATGCACACGCACACGCACACGCACACGCACACATTCTCTTTTGAAACAGTCTTGCTCTGTTGCCCAGGCTGCAGTGCAATGGCACAGTCTCAGCTCACTGCAACCTCTGCCTCCTGGGTTCAAGCGATCCTCCTGCCTCATGCTCCTGAGTAGCTGGGATTATAGGTGTGAGCCATTGTGCCTGGACCTGAGTGAGACTTAAAATAAATAGGGAAAAGATGAATTATTCAATAAATGGTTTAGGCACAGAGGTGTAGCTGCTGGGTCAACCCACCCTGCCCACTTAACAACAACAACAAAATAAGAGAGGCCCACTTGATGCCACACATCAGAACAAATTGGAAGTGGATTATGATAAAGAGCACGAAATTGCACCATAAAACAGGCAGGTGAACTAAACTTATCTGGTCTTGGGACAGAAGAGAGACCTAAAACATGAGAGCAGAGAAGATATCAGAGAAGCCATCAATATACCCACCTTTGGAGAAATGAAAACTTTTTTACGTTACAAAATACGAATCATAAATAAAAACAAAAGGAAATGAAATATAGAAAACAACGTGCTGTAGGCAGAAAACTTCAAGTTAATGAGAACATAACAAACATCTCAAAAGAAAAACTGTAAGGAACATAAACTACTCAAAACTGGCCCATCCACACATGGAGAGACGTGTGACCTCTCCCACAGTCACAGCCATCAACAACACGGATAGACATGCGCCCTTCCACAGTCATAGCGATTGATATTTCAAATCTGGGGGCAACTTCGCCTGTCAGAATGACAAATAAAAAATGAAAAGAATAGTGTTGGTAAAGCTGGAGGCACACCGGTCTCCTGTGCCCACTGCAATGGTGCAGAAGTTCAGCCTGTGGCGACGCATCACCAGAAACCTTTCCACTGGTCCCATCCTTCGAGCCTGCACTTCTGCGTTTGGATTTATCCTGAGGAAATGATCAAAGATGTGCCCAGTGTTTATGTATTAACACTGTGAAAAAGTGGATCACTGGTCAGGCGTGGTGGCTCACGCTTGTAATCCCAGCACTTCCGGAGGCCAAGGAGGGAGGATCACGAGGTCAGGAGTTGGAGACCAGCCTGTCCAATATGGTGAAACCCTGTTTCTACCAAAAAAATACAAAAATTAGCCAGGCATGGTGGTGCATGCCTATAGTCCCAGCTACTCAGGAGGCTGAGGCAGGAGAATCCCTTGAACCTGGAAGGCAGAGGATGCAGTGAGCCAAGAATTGTGCCCCTGCACTCCAGCCTGGGTGACAGAGTGAGACTCCATCTTGGAAAAAAATGGATCATTAATAGGGGCACTGGCTGAAGAAATTATGGCACATCCAAAGGGAAGGAATACTAGGTGCAGAAAATGATCTCTCTTCACGAGAAAAAGAACTCTTAAGATGTGAACCACAAAACAGATTTCCTCGGGAGAAGCAGCTAAGGACCTGACCTTCCTCTGGGCAGGTTCCTGCTCATTCCAGCTGCACCCATGTCTGTGCCCACCTCAAGCACCCACCTGAAGTGCTCATTGAGCAAGTGTGAACTTCCCTGGGAGTGCTTTGTAGAGGTACTGGGGGAGGGGACCAGGGCCCTGGAGGTGGGGAGAGAGGCTGCAGTGATGCTTGATCATACCCCTTGGATTCTTTTTTTTTCTTTTTCTTTTTTTTTGAGGTGGAGTTTTGCTCTTGTTGCCCAGGCAGGAGTGCAATAGTGTGATCTCGGCTCACCACAACCTCCACCTCCCGGGTTCAAGCAATTTCTTCTGCCTCAACCTTCTGAGTACCTGGGATTACAGGTATGCGCCACCAAGCCCACCTAACCTTGTATTTTTAGTAGAGATGGGATTTCACCATGTTGGTCAGGCTGGTCTCAAACTCCCAACCTCAGATGATCTGCCTGCCTCAGCCTCTCAAAGTGCTGGGATTGCAGGCTTAAGCCAGTATGCCCAGCCACTCCTTGGGACTTCTTCAGAAACACTAGAATTCTGAACTTTATGATGTAAAATAGAGTACTTTGGATTCAGAAATTGTGACGACATTAAACATGAACAGATTTTCAACGATTTAAAAATCAATTCCTTCATCAATATCCTCCTTACATGTCCCTTTGGTGTCTGCTTTAGGAGCACCAACCCTTAAAACTAGGCTTTTAACATTTGTCATCTTAAATCCTTCCCAGGATTTAAGATGCATTCTTTTCTCTTCATTATCTCCTTTCACTAAGCTCAGATGAACGTGATGTCCTGCCTTGAGATACCTTTTCAGAGGCCATGACTTAAAGTAAGTTGGTGGGGCTGGGCACTGTGGCTCATGCCTGTAAACCCAGCACTTTGGGAGGCTGAAGCTAGAGGATCGCTTGAGGCCAGGAGTTTGAGACCAGCCTGGGCAACATAGTGAGAGTCTGTCTTTACAAAAAAAAAATTAGTCGGGTGCAGTGGTATGCACCTGTAGTCCCAGCTACTTGGGAGGCTGAGGTGGGAGGTTTGCTTGTGCTCAGGAATTCGAGACTGCAATGAGCTATGATAGTACCACGGCACTCCAGCCTGGATGACAGAGCAATATGCTGTTCCCAAAATAAATAAATAAACAAAATAATTTGGTGGGAAGCAGTTTCTGCCCCTGAATCTCTAATATGTTCCCTGGAAATTCCCTCGTCCTGCACCAAGACCCTAACCGCTGGGGTCTGGAAGTCCAACTCAAACTCCAGCCTTCAGCTTGCAAGGCCAATTCCAAGCCTTTCTGTATCTTCTTCATCTCCATTCTTCTTCCTCTACTTTCTCTTCCTCTTTCTTCTTCTTCCTCCTTCTTTTTTTTTAATAGATGAGGATCTTGCTATATTGCCCAGGCTGGCCTTGAACTCCTGAGCTCAAGCAATATCCTGCCACAGCCCCTTAAGTAGCTGGGACTACAGGTGGGTGCCACCATGCCTGGCGCAAGCCTTTCTTCAACTGATCCCGGACACAGCACTCAAGAGCACAGCTCCCTGCAGCCCTCCACACCCAAACCGAGTATTGACGCCCATCTGCTGGGGTCCCTCAATGGCAATCTCCACTGAGGTGTGATTCAACTTAAGCTGGCAGGAGGGGAAAGATGGGAAAAAACTAACAACATACATTAAACATGGACGGACAAACTGTACTACAGAAATACATACAACACACACACAACACATGCACACCACACACACCACACTCATAAAACAGACATGCACATCTATACACACTGCACCACACCAACATACAGACCACATGCAACTTACACATCACACACCCCATATCGCACAAACATACATGTAACACACATACTCTACACCACACACATAACATAAACATATACATATACCACACCCACCGTACCACACATACCATATCACATACACACTCCACACCACAGCACATCACTAACATATACACACACACCACACCACAAATACATATCACATATACACTCCACACCGTACACACATATACACACACACCACACATGCCATATCACACAAACATACACATCATATACTCCACAATGCACACAACACACCAATATATACATACATATCACACACACCATATCACAAATACATATCACATACACACTCCACACCATGCAAACATATACACACACACCACACATCACACAAACATACATATCACATGCTCCACACTGCACCCAACACACCACACCACACCAACATATACTGACACACGGCACACCCACCATACCACAAATACATATCACATACACGCTCCACACCATATACACACACACCACACACACATACATATCACATACTCCACACCGCACACAACACACCAACATATACATACATATCACACAATCACAAATACATATCACATACACACTCACCACACATATACACATAACACACATATCACACAAACATACATATATGCCCCACACCGCACACAACACACCACACTACACCAACATATACCCACACATACCACACCCACCATACCACACATACATATCACTACACACTCCACACCACACATATACACCACACACAACATGCCAGGCAAGTTTACACACCACACACACATACATGTAAGAGTACAAATACACACACAAACACCTAGGCTTCTTGGCAGTGTTCCTTGACAAGTGAAGGGGAAAGAGGCCTTTTTCTATTCACCGTCATTTGTCTTGAGGAAAGCCTCCATGTGAAGGCAGGGGACGCTGCCCCCACGCACTGCACCGCCGGGAATGCTTTTGTGAAGGGCCCCTTTGTCCTGTCAATGTTCTTTTCAATGGCTTAGTGATGATTTCACTCTGCTGTTACTGTAAGCATAGACTCCTTGCTAAGTAATTCCCTTTGTTATAAATGGAATTTTAAATCCTGAATAAAATCAATGAAGAAATCAGGGAACAGCTGATGAACCAGACAGCGCACCTGATTAACATCTAAGGAAGACATTGAAAGATAATAACGGTGGATTTCTCCCTCCCATCAGAACAGATTTTTCACAGAATCCCAGGTGATAAAGTGAAATGCCATTCAAATGCAGCCCATTATCACACCCCGTGTACAACCTGGGGGCTTCCAGGGGCTGCCTGAGTCACCTGCAAACCCCTTCAGCCTGGCACTGCTCAACAGCTTACATCGAACAGGGAGCTCTTTCCTCACTGCTTACCTACTGCTTCCTGCAGCTGCCACAGTTAGGAGCATGGCCCCACATTCGGGGGAACAACCGAGGGTAGTCTCAGCCCAGAGCAGCACAGCCCACAGTGGACTCCACGGCCACCGCAGCTGCTGGGCTTGCCCAAGCTCATCCAATCACCCCATGCCCTGCTTTGCTGATGGCGGGCCAGTGCTCACCTTGCTGCACTGGGGAGTAGGCGTTGGTCAGGAAGCGGAAGTGTCCTTTGTTGTACCAGCAGATCAAGGACATGTTCCCCTTCATCTTGATTTGGTACTGGCCCCGGGCCGGAGGGGTGGCTGGGTTGGTCAGCATGGACAGTGGGAGGCCGGTGCAGTCACTCTTCCGGGCGCTGAGCAAGCCACAGCAGTAAATCCCTAGGGGGAGAAGGATAAAGAATCACACTCACCATCATGGGAGATGCCAGTGGCTCCTCTGCCCTGTGCACCCCCAGGGAAAGAACGGGACCGCCAGGTTCTCAGGCTGATGCTTGGAAGTTAGACCTTCTAGAAGAGACCGCTGAAGTTTTGAAGTGTTGTATCCCTCTGTGGTCTCCCCGTGTGACAGTCTCCCTAGGTCCTTCCCTACTAACACACAGTATGCTAAGATGGCATGTAGGGCCACAACACGAGCAATGGATGGGCAGCAGCAGCAGGAGCTGCCACCTGGACCCTCAGTGTCCAGCACAGCGCTGCACATGTGCACTCCTCATCCCACCTATGTCCAGAAATTTCTACACTCTACAGGTGATGGCACGCATATTAGAGAAGAACAGAGGCCTGACAAGGGCGAGGCCCCCAGGCTCACAGCTGGCAGGGCAGACAGGCATGAAGCCCAGGACTGTCCAGCATCCAAACCCAACCACGGTTACGTCATCCTGATGGTCTCGCCAAGACGTGGCTGGCCGTGGGCCCAGCGCAGAGCCAGTCCACACTGCACCCCAGGAAGCTGTCAAACAGAGCCCCCATCTCCTTTGGGAGCTACGTTCAATGCAAAAGAATCATCCAAAAATGTGGACTAAACCAAGTGTCCATGAGTGGGTGGAGAGCCTCCTGAGAAGGAGCTTTCACTTGGTCTCTCAGGCCTGGAAAATTATCATAGGGTGGCTGGTGGGCGGTAGAGACCAGTACGAACAAACGCCCACCGCGGACTTGCTCACTTCCATCCTGGACCCAAGGCCTTTCAGGTCCTTCCATTCCATGGACCCACCCTACCCTGCTGGGCCATAGGCCACAGAGGCCACAAGCACTCAGCTGCTCCCCAGCAGCCTGGAGGGGACGCAGAGAGCCTCGGAGCAGTCTCAGCCTTTACTCTCTACCCCGAGAGGACCGACAGTACCATCGGTCACCTGAACACATCCCATATCCCACGCATCTGCTTTCCTCATCCCTGCATCCCACTCTGCTCTGGAAGAAAGCCAGTTGAATGAATCTTTCCCTCTTCCAGATTCTGTTCCTTGTGGCCTGTGGGGAGGAAGATGCACCCAGAGCTGCTTTCGAGTCTTGCAGCTGAAAAGAGGAGGGGTCTGCTGCTCACAGCTTCGTTCTTAGCAACCGATATGACCACTCAAGCTACTCTCATCTTGAGATTTTGGTTTGTTTTGTTTTGAGACAGAATTTCACTTTTGTTGCCCAGGCTGGAGTGCAATGGCACGATCTCAGCTCACTGCAACCTCTGCCTCCTGGGTTCAAGTGATTCTCCTGCCTCAGCCTCCCAAGTAGCTGGGATTACAGGCATGTGTCACCATGCCTGGCTAATTTTTTGTATTTTTAGTAGAGACAGGGTTTCTCCATGTTGGTCAGGCTGGTCTTGAACCCTCAACCTCAGGTGATCCACCCACCTCGGCCTCCCAAAGTGTTGGAATTACAGGTGTGAATCACTGTGCCTGGCCCCTCATCTTGAGATTTAAAAAGAAGAATCTGTTCTTAAAAACAGGGAGGAGGATGACATGAACAAGGGTAAGGATGTCCGAAATCCCCCAGCTGGGGCTCGATCTATACTTCCAGCCAAAGAGAAGCTGCATGTTCACAAGAGGGAAAGAAGAACATCCAGCAGCACCCACATTTCCATGAATCTATCCCTTTATAAACAAAGAAATTATTCCAGGAATGTCCTTTCCGGCTTTTATTTTACAACCTGGTCTGTGTGGCCCTAGGAGGGACAACCAGACTCTCCACTACAATTCTTCTCCTCGAACTTGGCTGCCTGTGAGAATCCCCCAGGGTCAGGGGACACTGGCCCAGACCAATGTGATCTGCGTCCTGGGGAGGTGGGGTGCAGCCACTAGCAACCATCCCTGTGGACACGCTGGAGGACGCTGCCCTCAGCCACAGCAGAGGAGGTACATGATAACGCCCCAGGTGAAGAGCCCAGTCAGTTTAGATGCTTCTAAAAATAGGCAAGGAGAACTTTTTTTCTCTTACCTAACCTCTTGAAAAAAATCCAGATTCCATATCCAAATATTTTCTTCCAGCTAGAAGTTTCTTTTCCCATCCTTCTTCTAATTCTGTGAGCCAAGAGGCATCCCCTTCTCAGAATCACAGGAGTAGCACACCCAGCTCTTTGGGAACCATATCGATGGCCCAGGATATTCCTCTGGCATCCCCACTCCACCTTGTCTGCACAGCATCCACTCCACTCGACACAGACACACACACACAGACTCGCACACACACCCATACACAAACACAGATGCACATACACAGAGACACACACAAACAGATGCACACAGACACAAACACAGATGCACACACAGACACACAAGTACACACACAGACACAGTTACACACAGGTACACAGATACAAACACACAGACATAAACACAGATATAAGCACAGATGCACCCACAAAGACAGATACACACAAAGACACAGGCAGACACAAATGCACACATGGACACACACAGTTGCACACAGACACAGATGCACGCAGACACACACAGATGCACACTGACACAGACACACACCAACATAGACACACATAAAGATATACACACACACAAAGACAGAGACACACACAAAGACACACAAACATATACACACATAGACCCATACACACACACAGGAACACACACCCCTCCCCCCTCCTCTCAGTCCAGGTTGATGGTGTGAGGCAGGGAACAGGCCCTGGAACACACATAACATCACACTCGCAGTACCCGCACTTGGCCTTGCACAAGCTGATAGGAGAGATGGCAGTCCTGGTTCTCACCCTGTGCTCGAAGAGAGAACCCACCATTCTTCCAAAGTAGCTGGGTATTGTGCTGCAGGGCCAATTTTTTCTCACTTTACTTTCACAGCCCCACTTTACATTGTCTGATCTCTCTACCCTCGATTCTTCCAACAAGTAACTATTGAGCCCTGGGCTTTGCAGAAGAGTAGGATGTAGCCAAAGCCAGCAGAAAGTAAAGTCTGGGGCTGCTGCCTCACTGCAGCTGCCAGGGCTCCAGGATGTCAGCTGCCTACACCTCATTACTTAAGAGGGTCTAGTTTGAAGGTCAGATGTCTGATTGCTGCTGAGCCAAAGGTCTGCAATTCTAGTCTACTGGCTGCTGCAGGGGAGCCAGCAGTTTTTGTGCTTCTCCTGAGTGGACTGGCTCTAAATCCCCAAAGGTGGGATGAAGTGAAGGCCAATGCAGCTTGCCACAGGGCTTCCTGAACTGGTCCACATCTTCTTTTTCTATAGCCCCTGTTTCATTCAGAGCCAAGGAAGGCTTGCCCAGTCTTTGCCATGCATGCACCAAGCATCTTAGCACTCAGGGTACCTAAGACTTTTCTGAGGCCCATTGTACTGTTCCCTGTCTTCACACAATTCTTGTCTGTCTCCTGGGAAGGGGCCACATTATAGATGGTGGGTGAGTTCCAGAGATTTCCTAGAATCTTACTAGGAGCTATGCCCAGGGGACACAGATTTTGATGGCTGCAGATTTCCAACAGAGGACACACAAAGAAATGCCCTGAAGACTAAGCAGAGCTTTGCACCAACATGTCCTCTAGATCTTGAGCCCGTGGCTTACTCACCCTGCAATCTATAGTGCCTGGCAGGGTCCAGGCACGCAGGGTGGCTGATGCATCTCTTCCCTCAAGGAAGGGCCTCATCACCTGGTATTCTGTGGTCTGTGCTGGTCACCGCACAGCTGTACCCCCACCTGGACCTCTCCTAGCACTTTCCCAGGGGAGGCAGGGCTGTGTCCCCACTGGCTCCCCGCTTGACTAACCTTGCTTCTCAAACTCTTCAAACAGGGTCAGGCTGGTGATGCTGGGCCCCGTGAAGATGATGTAGTTCTTGCCTGCCGCATTCCGGCACAGGCTTCTGGCCACCATGCTGTGGAGCTGGGGCTTATTCTTCAGTGCATCCAGGCCATCTGGGCCCCCGCCTTCCTTCAGGTGGACGTAAATCTTTAACATAAACACATAGAGGTCAGTGTGCTCACAGCAGCGTGAGGTTGGGAGCCCGAGAATTCAGCAAGCATGAGTCTCAGTCACAAGGCTGGGAGCTTGTGGAAAAGCCCCCATCATCTTTTCAGCTCACAGGGGCCCCAGGTCACCCTCAAGCACACCCTGGCCCTGAGGCTGGTGACTCAGCCCCAGATGCTTCAGTTTGGAAAGGTCAAGGCAGAGGAGGAAAAGAACAAGCACCTGCAGATAATGAACCCAGCAGTGAAGACAAATGCACACATACTCCCGAGCTCTGAAACACAGGAATGATTTAAATTCACTATAAATAAAAGTAAAGGCAACCTCACCTGTTAGGAATACATGGATCTGTGCACTTTCCACCTGAACACAGCTTTTAACTTACAAGGCATATTCATAATGGCTGTTTTATTGGTTCTTTCCAGTAACCGCCATCAGGCAGACAGAATAGGTACAATTCCCCTCACAGCGCAGAGAAGACAGGACTGAGGGCTAAATATTCACCCAAGAGCCCAGGCCAGCAAAGAGGATGTGCGGGACTCAGGGAGCAATTTTTAAACGTGTTTCATGCTGCTTCCGTGAATATCATCAAAGGGCTAGAGGCAGGAGAGTTAACAGATTCAAGAAGAACATGTTCAAAAAATCAACTCTTTCCAGTGCAGGTGCAAGAAATGTGACTTCGCAAGAAAATCTTAAACAAACAAAACAGAACACAACGCAAAATGTGGTGTTGGATGACAGTAACTCACTGCAAACCAGAACTGCTCAAGAAGTTCATGGGATCCGAGCCCGCACTGCTTATTTCCACATTAACACACACACAGCCACATGCTGTCTGGGGTTTCTATACAGATATCTACACTCAAATTGTTAACGCTGTGTATTATGCTTTTTTAATTGCTGCATCACAAATGACCAAAAACTCAGTGGCTTCAACAGTGTCCGTTTATGAGCTCATAGTTCTAGGCTGGGAGTCTAAGCAGGGCATGGCTGGTTTTTCTGCTCAGCACAAGGCTGCGAACAAACTGTTGACTGGTGGGTTCTCATCTGGTGTTTGGGATCTGCCTTCATGTGTATTCTCATTGTTTCCTTATGGCTGCAGGACTGAAGTCCTGTGTCTCTGCTGACCATTAGTCAGGGACTGCTCTCAGCTCCTGGAGGCAACGTGTAGTCCTTGCCATGTGACCCCTCCCATTGTCAAAGCCAGCAATGGTCGGCCAGGCGAGGTGGTTCACGCCTGTAATCCCAGCACTTTGGGAGGCTGAGGTAGGAGGTTAAGAATTCAAGACCAGCTTGACCAACGTGGCAAAACCCTGTCTCTATTAAAAGCACAAAACATTAGCTGGGTGCGGTAGTGCATGCCTATAATCCCAGCTACTTGGGAGGCTGAGGCAGGAGAATTGCTTGAACCCGGCAGGCAGAGGTTGCAATGAGCTGAGACTGTGCCATTGCACTCCAGCCTGGGTGACAAGAGCAAAACTCTGCCAAAAAAAAAAAAGGCAGGGTACAGTGGCTCACACCTGTAATCCCAGCACTCTGGGAGGCTGAGGCAGGAGGATTACAAATTCAGGAGTTAAAGACCAGCCTGGCCAATATTGTGAAACCACCCTCTACTAAAAACATAAAAATTAGCTGGACATGGTGGTATATGCCTGTAGTTCCAGCTACTCGGGAGGCTGAGGGAGAAGAGTCGCTTGAACCCAGGAGGTGGAGGTTGCAGTGAGCTGATATCGTGCCACTGCACTTTAGCCTGGGCGACAGAGTGAGACTCTGCCTCAAAAAAAAAAAAAAAAAAAAGCCAGCAATGGGGACCCTTCCTGAGGCTGCAGCCCTGTTGTGATTGCACTCTCTTCTGTCACGAAGAACCTGGTTCCTTTTCAGGGCTTACGTGGTTAGGCTGGGCCCATGCAGGATAATTTCTCTTTAACAGACTTAGGACCATAATACATTTGCAAAATCCAAATTCCTTCTCATCAACACCCACATTAGTGTTTGAGTGAATAACCGGGAGGCGTGTGCACACCAGGGCAGGAAGTCTGTGAGTATCTCAGAGTTCTAACACATACTGGGGCATACTGCTTCCACACCAGGCACTTCTATGTAGCTGAAGAACTAAAACATGGTAGCTGAGAAATGGAGTGCTTCCCCACCTTCCTGAAACCAGAGGAGTGGAGATGACGTCAGTTTTATTCCCTGGGAAACAGACTGACTGAATGTACTTTCATGAAGACCAACAGTAAACAACACCTTCCCTGTCCAAGCACTCAGCGTCAGTGAGGATGTGGGGAAATTTGGCCCTAGGTCAAATTTCCCTAAGGTCTTTTAGGAATCAAAGACCTTAAAGTATGGCTGTTATGGAAAACAGTATGGAAGTTCCTCAAAAATGAATAATCACATGATCCAGTAATCTTACTTCTGGGTACACACCCAAAAGAACTGAAATCAGGGCTCTCTGAGAGATACCTGCACTCCCATCTTCACGGCTGCATTATTCACAATTGCCAAGATTTGGAAACACAAGTGTCCATAATGGATAAGTAGATGAAGAAAATGTGGCATATACACACAATGAAATACTACTATTCAGCCTTTTAAAAGGAGGAAACTTGCCATTTGCAACAACATGGACCTGGAGGACATGAAGCTAAGTAAAATGAGCCAAGCACAGAAAGAGAAATACTGTATGATCTCACTTACAGGTGAACTTAAAGCTGAACTAATAGGAGAGAGTGGAATGGTGGTTACCGGGGGCTGGAAGTGAGAGAGCTGAGATGTTGGTCAAAGAATACGAACTTTCAGTTACATAGAGGAGTAAGTTCAAGAGATCTATGGCACCACATGGTGACTGCAGCTACCAACGATATGTTCTTGAAAATTGCCAAGATGGTCAATTTCAAGTGTTCTCACCACAAAAAATGGAAACTGTGTGATCTAATGCATATGTTAATTAACTTGATTCAGCCACTTCAGTGTCTTCATATTTCAAAATACATTGTACACAATAAAGATAAACAATTTTTGTCAATTAAAAAATAAATTTTATAAAAACCTTAAAAATATTCATGCTATTTTACTCATGAGTTTCACTTTTAGGAATTCAATCCACGGTAATAATCAGAAATGCGTTAAGAGATTTATACATAAAATACCATGCCCATCTTAGAGTTTTTAATAATGGTAAAAAAATTAACAATGACCTAATTATCTCACATGAAAGAAGACTGGTAAAAATTACATATGTATGTAGAATGGAATGTGGTACGCTTTAAAAAATAACCATGTAGAAAAATGTTTAGTAACATAGAAAACGTTCACAATATCCTTGTAAGTAGCCAGATTATAAAATAGTGCAAGTGTGTGTGTGTGTGTGTGTTTACATAGATAGGTTGACTATATACTCAAGTGGCTATTTCTGTACAAAAAGCATTTATTAGAATGACAGATATATTGTAATGTTTTTGATGCAACATATAATACAACTTAATCAGACCCACTAAAAATAATTATAAAATAACTTCCTTATCAGGATTACCCAAGCATAGGAGGATTTGCAATTTCCAGTATCTATAGTGTCTGAGTGAACCATGTATTTGGAGTATGTGTCTGTAGGGTCTGTTGTGCATCGTCTCCACACCTGGAGATGACGATGATGATGATGATGATGATGAGAACCAGGTCAGCCTCTCGCTCTCCTGGGATTACCACATTTTCCCAAAAGCCAGCGATGTGCAGCGGAGAGTTTACAACCCTTGGGTAGAATATGGAAGGCAGTCCTGTGGCAGGACTGTCTTGACATTCACTCAGCCTCATGTGTCCAGAAATGCACCTCTGAAAACTGGCATTTTTCCAGACTCCAGCCCGTCTCTTCTGAAGAAGTAGACACTTGACTGGGATGTCACAGGAGAAGTGGACAGGCACGGAGCCAAAGTCAAATATTTATTATTAGAAAATCTGGAAGAAGGATGAGGCCAAAAAGCGGCACCATTGAGAGTCTAAAGAGAGTTCCAAATGTGTGGCACTTATTATTATAAAATAATGAGTTTTTCAAAGTGAATATAAAAGAGGACTTTCATTTAAATAAATAATACAAAAAATGGTAACCTTGAAAGTCTCAGCTAAGGACATGATTTAGAACTGTGGGCAAGGCAGTCAAAATCTGGCCAAGAAAAGGCTCAGCCCAGATGGGCGTGGTGGCTCACACCTTTGTAATCTCAGCACTTTGGGAGGCCAAGGTGGGCAGATCAGGTCAGGAAATCAAGACAAGCCTGACCAACATGGTGAAACCCTGTATCTACCAAAAATACAAAAATTAGCTGAGCATGATGGCAGGTGCCTTTAACGCCAGCTACTCGGGATGCTAAGACAGGAGAATCACTTGAACCTGGGAGGCAGAGGTTGCAGTGAGCCAAGATCTCTCCATTGCACTCCAGTCTGGGTGACAGAGGGAGACTCCATCACAAAAAAAAAAAAAAGAAAAAGAAAAAAGGCTCAGCGCAAGAGGTACTGCTAGATCTGATGGCTAGGCAGGTCCATTACCCAACTGGTCCTTGTTTGCTTTGACATAATGTCAGCAGTCTAAGGTGCTAACTTGTTTCCTTTAGCTGGATGAGTAACCTCCAATGAAGTCTCATCCCAACCATACCCCATTGCTACAAATGCTGAAGCTATACAAGCTACGCTGAAGATTGTGTCCAGGTTTAAAAGACTATCTTAAGGAATCCTGCCAGTAATCTGAGAAACAGCAGAATCACTGGGAACCCACATATGTATTCAGATGCTGGGTTGGGTACTTTCTACAAGAGCTCCCCAGAGAGGACACGGAAGGAAATACTATTCACTCAGATGCATGACTGCTTCCTGGTCTGCTTTTCAAAAAGTCAGATATCTCCCTAGACATAGCTAGAGAAAGCACCATCATACTAATACATTCCACCAACATGTGGAGACATAGGTGACCTCCTATCGCTGGGCAAACTGCAGCC